CTAGCCATTGCTGCAAAACAAGAAAAAGAATTTTTAAAAGATAAGTATTGGAAGAAATGACTATTTCAGATAACATAGAAATAGAAATTCCTACAATCAGTGAGAAAATTTAGCAAGGTTGTAGGAACCAAGACATTTTTCAAAGTTCATTTGTATTCTACAGACTGGCAAACAATTGGAGAATGAAATCTTGATGTTTCATTTACAATAGTATCAAAGAACCTTAAAATACTTTAGAATGAATTCATAAAATATACACAAGATCTCTCATGTGAAAATTGCTAAGAGGGATAATAAATGAAGAGATATGTCTTCACAAGATTTTATTCTGATGAAGTTAACCAGCTGGTTCTGTAATTTTCATGAATATGTGGATTTACTATATCCAAAGAAAATCTTGCTAAAGAAGCACAAAGTTGGAGGACTGTCACTTGGTGGTATCAAAAGCATCTATAAAGTCACCAGTAATCTAAATGCTGTGGTATAAAAGTAAATAATGAGTAAAATGCAGCTTCCTGAGTTAATTCACTCATTTGTATTTTAGCAAATGGCACTGGAATACAAAAGGAACCTTGACTCTGACTTTACACCATACAAAACCCTTGACTTAAAATGGATCATAGACCCAAATATAAAGGCTAAAATTGGGGGGCCCCTAGTGGCACAAGGGGTTGAATGAAGCTATCCACAACCACTGTAGCACGAGTTGGATCCCTGGCCAGGGAGCTGACCCACATGGCACAGCAGACCTCTTCTGTCTCGCCCCTGCTCCCCTCAGCAGTGTATTTCAATAGATCTGCCTGCTCTGCTCCCCACTGTCTCTGGTGAATCCTCTCACCTCCCCGCCCCCACCCCACACATCTGGGCTCCACCCCAGTTCTTGTATGCATAAATAAATAGAAAATAGATACTTCTCTAAGGAAGGAGTAGTATCCTGAATATTTAAAGAAGTCCTACAAATGAATAATAAAGAGAAACTAATTTGTATCCATTTTAAGTGGATATTCTACAGATGGTTTACAGCAGAAATTCAACTGAAAACTGGTAATATTTCAACATTAATATTCAAGAGATAATTTACAAAGAGATGTAAGTGCATTAGTCTGTAGGGAAAGCACAATGACACTACCACACAGTCCTCTGCAGTCACAGCTCAAGTAACCTGCTCGTGTTCTCCAGGAAGTGCAGGGTCCCGAGCCCTTTGACATTGCTGGTTGGTGGGGCTGTTCTGGACAAGTTGGTTATTTATAAAACTAAATACGCACCTACCCTATGACCCCTAAGATCGTGCTCCTGGGTATTTACCAAAAAGATCCAGAAACGTAAATACACGAACACTTGCCCAAGAGTGTTCCTGACAGTTTTATTTAGGATAATCAAAAATTTCTGACAGCTAGTTTATTTATCAGTGGGAGGAGTATGAGGTAAACCATGGTACAGTCAAGCCGTCAAAAATGAGCAATAAAAAGGAACAAATGGGGCCCTCCCTGGTGGTGGAGTGGGTTGGCACTGCACTGCGAGGCCAAGCTGTGCCCACTTCAGTGCGAGTTCAATCCCCACCCTGGAGGTGACCCACATGGCGCAGCAGACCTCTCTTGATCCACCTGCTGCTCCCCTCAGCAGTGTGCTTTGTTGATCTGCCTGTTCTGCTCCCCACTCTGTCTCTAGTGAATCCTCTTGCTGCCCCTGCACCTCTGGCCTGTACCCCAGTTCTGTATGCATAAATAAGTTTTTTAAATCTTAAATGATTGAACAAATGATTAAAAAGGAACAAATGAGTAGATCTCAGGAGCATAGTGCTTTATACAAGAGTACATAAGGTATGATTTCATTTGTATAACCATCTAGAGCAGACAAAACCAAGGTCTAGGAAGGCAGAGCTAGCCTACGGTAGAAAAATCCAGAACCATGATTTCACAACAAGAATGTGGGTGGAACTCTGGGGAACTTCGATCTGTTGCTGGTGTTTGTTGAGAGGTTGGGTCGGTGGGTAGGCATTTAATTTGCAAAGTTGTATGTCAGAACTCATCTGTGGTGAATCTAAGATGTGTGTACTTCATTGTACATTTCACCTTCTCCTGGAAAAATCTGTAAACAAGTATTTAGTTAATGTATGCAGGGAGAAGTAGGGGTGGGTGGGTGGGTAGGCAGAATGTGTACTGATGTCTACAACTCACTCTGAAATGCATCCGAACAATATGCATTGGTTGCTGAAAAGAGGACACAAACATTTAGTAAAGCAAGTCTAGGAACACACTCATTGTAGAAGCTAAGTGGTGATAGGGGAGTTCACTGTAAAATTCTAGCAACTGTATGTTTAAATTTTTTCATGATTAAAGGGGGGGGAGCCAGGATGGGCAGGATTCATCCCAGTGGAATATTCGTGTCCCATTAGTGCTAAACCATAAAAGCTTGCCCCCAAAGAGCCTAGATAAAATACAATCATTTGGGGGGCCTCCCTGATAGCAGAGGGATTAAAATCTCAGGGCTAGTAAGCTGTGGCCAGCCACTGCAGTCCCCCACGTGGTGTAGCAGAC